TAATAAACAAAGCTTCAAATTCACATTGTCAGGAGTGAGTTCCAGATCCTGAAAATTTGGATCAAGCCCATTCTGCCCTGTCTCTCTCACTGAATGCAACTGTAAACCCTGAATCTGAAAATTCTGAAAAACAAATGGTAGCAGGCCAATTGGAGAAGGCAATCCGAAAGTGAAGCACTGCTGATTCACAGCAAGTTTCTCATTTATTTTCCCTCAAGTGTCTCCTGGCTTGGACTAAAAGACAACCAGAAATGCAGAACTGTGCACCAGCTGAGGGTAGAGAGAAAGGGGAGCTTTCTGTAGTCATAGAGCTCTGGTTTTTGTTTGGGGTTTGTACTTTTTTTGTCTTTCTCCATTCTCTCCCAGGCCCAAGAAATCCCAGTGGCAGTGACGGGAGCCGTGAAGAGCCAGGAGCCTAGAACTCCGAGAAAAGGGAACCTTCTCCCTGACCAAAGAAGCTGTAGTCCTGAGAGAGCATCCTAGTGGCTTTTGTTCTCTATTTATCCTCTCCCTGCATTGTGGGAAATACACAGTACAGCAGTGCACTAAAGCTCACCCTATCTGGCCATAGTGTGTCTCCCGTGAATTGGAAAGTACTGTAGAGACTGCAGAGAGGAGGGAGATTAAGAAAAATCTCATGCAATGGTGTTTGGACTCCTGGGTTCACCCCCTAGCTATGCATGGGAAAACAAGACTTCAAATAGCCTGCCAAACTGTGAAACGCTTTGCAAGCTGAAGTAGGAGCAGACACTTCCCAGGTCTCAAAGTGGCCACTGGGAAGTGGGCACACAGGCCCAGGCTGAATAGAACTGCAAAGGCTTAGGGACAGGACTGATTGGAACTATCCACAAAAGGCAGGTAGGAACTTGCAACCTCTAACTGGGGCAGTTGCCTGCTAACAAAAAAATCTGAACATTCTACGTAGTATTTAAACAATGTCTTATATAGAGCCCATAACATAATATTCAGATTGTGCAGGATACAATCCAAAATTACTCAGTGAATGGAGAATCAGGAAAATCTCGATATCTCCAATGGAACAGTCAATTGGCTGATGCTAACTCTGAGAAGGCACAGGTTTTGGAATCACAAAGACCATAGGGTAGCTACTATGATCATAATATGAAGAGACAGAAAGAGAGGAAGAGAGAGAGAGATGGGAAGTGAAATAGATGAGAGAGATACAAGTAGAGAAAGAGAAAAAGAAAGATAGGTGTAGATAGGTAGAGAGACAGAAACACAGACATAGATATGGAGAGAGATGATAGGAAACAGGAGAGATAAAGCAAGATAGAGAAGGAGAAAGAGAGCTGAAAAGGGAGATCTAGAAGGAAAAAATGTAAGGGATGGACAGGAATAGAAAATAGAAAAATAAATGCAAGAAATCTGCCCATAGAGATGGAGAGATGGAGGAATATAAAGAGTGGTAGAGAAAGCAGGGGGAGATGGAGAAACAATGGTGGAGAGAGAAGTAGAGCTAGTGCAAGTGACAGAACTATAAAGCAATTCATGGTAGTTGTCTGAATTCATTATTACATCATTGGGGTTACATAATGGTAATTTTCTAATTTTAGTATTTCTCCAAAATTTATTGGCTGCAATACTAACATTAAGAACTTTCATTCTTAAGCTCTTTGGTATCCTGTAATATAGTTTATACAGAAATGGCAAGGTAGATGTTTGCTTCTTTTTCTTTTTCTTTGTTTTCAGAATAATGAGATAGGGCTTTGGCAACCTCCAGAGGTGATTTATTTTTTGAGTTCTATCAACATTCTCATTTGTTTTTATATAACGTTTCTCAAAATTTGTGTGTAGGTATTATTCTTTTGGTGCTCACAATGTCCTATCTATGGGCAGTGAGAGCCACTGCAATTGTCTCCTACGTCCTTTGGCAAGACCTCAGTCTCTGGTTGCTGCTTTGCTGCCAGGTAGACCAGCTGCCATGGGTTTATCTTGTACATATCATGCCCCAGTGCTGGATTCAGCCATTTCTCAGTTGAGCTCTAGTACTTTTAGTGAAGAATGGTATTTATAGACCCCGACATCAATGCTAGGAGTGTTTGTTAATTCTGTGTTGTTATTGCTTTCTGGTTTGTCTGTGGACAGCTAAGAAATAAGCATTTCTTAGGGAAAACTAATTCAAATAGTAGACCATAGGGTTTTGTGATACTTAAAATTGTATATTTGCGTTTTTGTCTTATACTGAAATCTTGGTTCCTAATAGTATCAACATCATGAATATATTAAATGGTAACTAGAAACAGTACTATCATCACCACTAACAACACTCAGCCCAGAGGATGCAATTTAAGATTTCTTCCTCCCTCCCTCCTTCCCTTCCTTCATTTTATTTCTTTCTCTTTTTTTTCCTCCATCTTTCGTTCTTTGGTTTTAGGGTATACAATCAAAATACTGTTTTAAAAAATCATTTGAGATATTAATAATTTGTTTATATTTTACATCACTTTCGATACATGTTAATAGTTAGCTTCATTTCTTTCATTTTCTATTTTTATAATTTTGAAATTAATTCTTTTTTTATATGCATTTTGTGTAGGCAAAACACTTATATGTATCTGAAGTCAAAATGCTGAAATGAGAAACATTTAGAGATTTTTGCTTCTATCTAGATATCTCTTTCCTCTTTTCTCCCTCAACCTATTCATGTAACAATATTTTCATTATTTTTACTGATTTTTCAACTATTCTTACTTATTCATAATAAATTTTTAACTTTTAAAGAAATAAATATTTTGTTCACCATATATGCAGTATATCATATGAATTTCTATTTGAAATTTATATTTATATTTTTGTCCTGAGGCATTTAGTTTCTATACATTTTAATCTGGCTTCTGTGTTTCATAAGTTACTTAAGAACATGCCCACACTTCAAAATTATACATACGGAAATCAATATTCTTTCTTTTAAAATTCTTATTCATTTATTACTAATTGTTTTGTCATTAATTTATTTGGAATCATTCTATAATAATTAATCATAATAATTAATGGTAAATATGGATACTCATTATCTGTTACTTGCTGTGCTAAGTACTTTATATGTATTATCTCATTTAATCTTCCAAGAAACACTTTGTGAGTTCAAAGTATAAGTAAATTTAACAGATGAGAAATTGAGAGCTTAACTGACTTCCCCAAGGTCATAGAGTTTTAACTCATAGAGATTTCAATCCCAGCAGTGTGGTTCAAAAAATTAGGAGGATTTTAAAGTTAATTTGCATTTTCTTATCTCTAATGAGGGGTCCACTATTTTACAGGTTTTTTGGCTGTTTGTACTGCATCTTTTGTGAATTATCTTTTCATACTCCTTGGTCTTTCTACCTTATGAGTATTAATTTTTCTTATTGGGTTGTAAGAATTCTTATATATTATTATAGAGATATTAACTCTTTATCAGATATATTGATAAGATTTCCCTGCATTTGCTTTTGCTTATTTTCAGCACATTTTAGTGAGTACAAGTCAGAATATACCTTTTAGCTAAACCTACCAATTTTTCCCTATGGTCACAGCTTTTCATGTCAGGCTCAGAGAGGCCAATGTCACTTGCAACTTAAATGCAATTCATCAATGTTAAATTCCAATTTTTTGTTTTGTTTTCAGTTTTATTAGCCAATGCAACATAATTACCAGGAAGCAGGAAAGCTAGAAGTAGGGATAGAGCCCACTGCATACCTTCCCTTCTTGGGCCTTAGAAAGGGACCACATGGGAAGAGGAGCAGAATATCTTTCAAAACTCAAATCCTACTCATAAAGGAAGTGACCCCTGGGACAGAAGGCAGTGGACGGGAGCCTAAAACTCTATCCCTAAGTATTAAGGTAACAAGTCCTCACTATTTCTTTCCTCAGGTCCCTCCACATGTGGTCTGAGGCAGAAAGGACACCAACCGGAGTCCCCTACTCCTCTCAGTCTCAGCTGTTATGACAACAGAAAATGAATTACCAGGGAGATGCCAAAGCAACAACCAACAGGGATATTGTTCTATTTCTTATTGTGAGCATTGTAAACATATATCCAAACATATTTATTAAAATAGTGGGTAGGAAATTGTATAAGTATCACTTTAATTTACAATCACTTTACTTGTTTGGCCACCTGTTAATCTATCTATCAATCCAAGTGTATTACAGGTATCAGTGCACTTTCTGAGGTATGGTTGTCAAAGTAAACATAGGATGCCCAGGTAAATCAGAAATTCAGATATAAAACAAAATTTTTAGTATGAGTCCAAAATATTCCAATTATGTCCAAAATATTCCATGGCATGGAACCATGTATTTTTTTTTTTTTTAATACAAATCTCCTACAAATCTGCTTGTGGGGGCCATTCAAATTGAGGAAGAACTGATATCCTCAAAGTGGTTTGCATCACAAACACAAAAACATCCATTTGCCTTTGAGTACAGTAAAATGCAGACCAACTTACCTGTTCCTAATTCCTTTTAATCAAGCAAGATCAAGCTTTCTCAGAGTTGGAGGTGGTGGTTTCCTGCAAGTGTACTTACAGATGTAGAAAGGAAGGTGTTTCACAGCAGTAACAAAGAAGCCTCAGCACAAGGCAAGCCTGTGGCAGCAGCTGCGACACATGGAAACTCTGGAGTGCAGGGGAGTGACCTGATTGAGGGCTGCTCACTCCACAGGGCCCAGGCAGGCTGCCCTGCACCTGCTGCAGTCCTGAGCTCCCCATGCTCCTGCCTCCTCTCCTGGAGAGGGCCTGTGTCAGCTGCCACAGGAGGGCGCTGGAGAGGTGGCTTGAAGCAGAGAGGAGGGGCATCCTGTGCAGGTCCGTGTAGGCTACACCCCTTCTGGGAGAACAGCTTGGAGTCTTCTAAGATAGATCCTCAGTCACTTCTCTCTGGCTGGGGCTCAGTCAAGAGGATCAGCTCCCATCCACTGCCTTCTGTCCCAGGGGTCACTTCCTTTTTGAGTAGGATTTGAGTTTTGAGAGATATTCTGCTCCTCTTCCCATCTGGTCCCTTTCTAAGGCCCAAGAGGGGAAGGCATGCAATGGGCTCTATCCCTACTTCTAGCTTTCCTGCTTACTGGTAAGTATGTTGCATTGGTTAATGCTCATGGAGTTTCTTTGTTTTGCACGGAGTGCCATACTAAGGAATTCCTCATTATTTTTTGTTGTTCCCATTGCAGCCAGTCAGATATCTTGCAACCTGGAAGGGAGAACGATGGTAATCATCAAGAAAACCGGGTCGTCTATTATTATCCCTTGTGATATTCCAGAAAGTACCAACTATATCCACTGGTACCTATTGCAGGAGGGCAAGGCCCTACGACGCCTTCTCTACTATGACTTATTTCAATTCAGGCTTACAGTAGAATCAGGATTCAGTTCAGAGAAATACTTTGCTTATGCAAGCACAGGGAAGAACTCTAGGTTTGTACTCCAATATCTGGAAGCAAGTGACTCTGGTGTGTATTACTGTGCCACCTGGCACAGCCACAGTGACTCAGACCTGCCCTATGCCACACTAGAAACCTTGCCTGTGGCTGCTCCTGGTACACAAGATAGATCAGTCCCTGTCTACCTTCCTGCCCTGACTTCACTGAGTTTTTGTTTTGGTATTCTGGTTTTATACATTTTAATCAATCGTTTATTTTCTGTTTTTTGACCTTAACTTGAATACATGCCACAACTTCATGATTATCCATAAAGAAATGTATAGGATTTATTTTTATTTATTTATTTATTTATTTATTTTGAGACAGAGTCTTACTCTGTTGCCTGGGCTAGAGTGCCGTGGCATCAGCCTAGCTCAGAGCAACCTCAAACTCCTGGGCTCAAGCGATCCTTCTACCTCAGCCTCCCAAGTAGCTGGGACTACAGGCATGTACCACCATGCCCGGCTAATTTTTTCTATATATTTTTAGTTGTCCCGCTAATTTCTTTATATTTTTAGTAGAGATAGGGTATCGCTCTCACTCTCGCTCAGGCTGGTCTCGAACTCCTGAACTCAAACGATCCTCCTGCCTCGGCTTCCTAGAGTGCTAGGATTACAGGTGTGAGCCACCATGCCTGACCTCTTTTATTGTTTTTACTCATATATTATTTCATGTTTATATCATTGATCCATCTGAAATTTTAGACAATAATTACTGTAGCAATAGGAATAGTAATGACTGGTAAACATGGCTACTTATTATCTGGTAGTTACTGCAGTAAAGACTTTACATGTATTTTCTTATTTAATCTTCACAGAAACCTTAGAGAGGGTTCAGAGTACTTTCGAATTTAACAGATGAACAATTCAGTCAGGGAGAAGGAAAATAACAGTCTCAAGGAACTTTGATGTGATAGAGATTTCAAACCCAACTCTATGGTTCAGAAAAATAAGGTTTGTTAATTCCATCAGTATTTCCTTATCTTTAATGAGTGCTAGCATTATTTCATAAGTTTATTGGCCATTTATATTTCTATTGTGAATTGTCCTATCATACATCTTGCCCATTCTTCCATTGGAATATTAATTTTTCTTTTTGGTTTGTAAGAGTTATTATATACAATTTTAGTTATATTAACCTTTTATGCTCTGTTGAAAAAATTCCCCCTCATTTGCTGTTATTTATTTTTGGCATATTTTGGTAAACAGAACTTTGAATATTACTTTTAAGAAAATCTACCAGGTTATTTATTTTATCTCTACTTTTGATGTGTGGCTTAGAGAGGCCAATCTCACCTGACATTTCTATGCAATTCATCAATGTTAAATTCTAGTGCTTTTCATTTTTCAGTTTTGTTACATTAAAATCTCTGTCTGTAGGTGGTAACACAGGAATTCAACAGTATGTGTTTCCATGTGATGAATCAGTTCCAAAAAGATAATTTATTGAATAATCAACTACTTCCTAATTGACCTGAATGCGTACTTTCATCATGCATTACCTATATGTGGATCTCTTTCTGGATTGTCCATTGTGTTCAGTGAAGCTTTACATTCTAGTGCCATTATTGCCCCGTTTTCATTACTGTAGCTTTATACTTCTTTTAGATTCCATTGGAATTAGTTTCTTTTATTAGTTTCTTAAGAATTTTCTTTGTAGTCTAGAATGATGGCAATTCTCTCCTTTCTCATTTTTAAACTGCTAAGACTTCTGTCCCAGCAAGGATGTCCCAGGTTTCAAGGCCCTTGAACTTGTCTCCTGAATAAGAAGTTGGAGGCTGCCAATAAATCTTCGAGGTGATCGGATTTTTGGTTCGAAGGAAAACTTCTCTTTCACACTTTCAAGTACAGATGGAGCCACATATGTAAAACCCAGGAAGACCTGGTTGGCACTTTCACTGAGAGTTGAGTCATCTGGGCTGTCAGCCCAGTCAAATTTTCTCCTGGGGATTTCTGGGGAAGAGGTGCTTCAGCCAACATGGCAAATCCTCAGACACCTGTGGAACACCCAACGGAAACGAGTGGAATAGAGCAGATGGATGTGACAATCCATCTGCATCAGCGCCACTTCCAATACGACAGCCAAACTCCAGGCCGTACAAAACACAAGCCTTTCCCATGATCTCCAAACGGCCAGAGCACCTGCATATGAATCTATGACAGAGCAATGCTTTTAATGAATTTAAGGCAAAAAAAGGTGGGGAAGGGAATGTGTGACCATCCTGCAAGATGAAACAAGAAGACTAAAAATGACAGTCTCAAGGAGGGTCTGTCATTACATAGAACACTTTGGAGAGAGGAAAATATAAACATGGACTTTTAAAAATCAATCAATGGTGCAAAAAAAAAAAAAAACTTTAGCAAAATAGTATTGCAGAACTCTTATGCACATCAATTAATTGATTCCTGGTGACATCTTCTCAACCTTATCAAGGATTTTCATGTTGATGGCTCAAAACTGACAGTATTAAGAGTAGGATGTTGCTTCTGAATCACTGTTGAGTTCTGATTGTGTTGAAGAAAGATTATCTTTTCATTAGGCAAAGTACGAAATTGCCTATACTACTTGCAACTAAGGACAAATTAGCATGCAAGCTTGGTCAAACTTTTTCCAGCAACATGGAATCAGAGGCAAAAGAAACTTAATAATTGATGTTTTCCATGCAAACAATCTGAATCTTTTTTTAATATAAATATATATTTTTCAAATAGATTTTTGATTCAGCTCATTATGGAAAACATCTCAAACTTTAAAATGCAAAATTATTGGTTGGTGTGAAGAAAGCCAGACAACTTCTGTTTCTTCTCTTGGTGAAATAATAAAATGCAAATGAATCATTGTTAAAAAAAAAAAAAAAAAGAAAGAAGAAGAAGAAGTTGGAGGGCTCAGCTTTCAGAGCTGCTCCTGTGGCAGACTTTACATGTGGTCCCTAAGGCAGGAGGGAGACCAACTGGAGTCCCCTACCCTCCTCCTACCCAGCTGGTATAACAGTAGAAGACGAATTGCCTGAGAGAGGACAAAGGAAACACCAAGAGGGATATTATTCTGTTTCTTACTGTGAGCATTTTAAACATAAAACAATACATATTTATTAAAGCAGTGGGGGGGAAATCTGTATAGATATTACTGTAATTTTATCATCAATATATTATACTTGTTTGACCACCTATTAATCCAGCTATTAATCCAAGTACCTTGCAGTTATCAGTATAGTTTCTGATGGTACACTTGTCAAATAAAATGGAGGACACCCAGATAAATTGTTATTTCTGATAAACAACACAGAAAGGGCAGGACTTTGGGGAAGGTTTGTTTGAAAACATCCAGTTGGTACAGAAATCCAATGAAGGACAGCCTCTGTCTTCACTTCCTGTAGATTTTACAGTGAGATTGCAAAGATTAAAAAGAGCTCCACACCTGACACTTTCCAAAGATGAGAAGCAGAGACCAGTGAGATTCTAGAGGTCACCATTTAGAAGATACCATAAAGAACCACGTCTCTACTTCTCATCTTCTCACAAAATTAGGTCTCAAAAATCCACAAACATAACTGTATACACAGCCATGCTCGAGAGAGCAGTAGAGGATAAGGAATCTGCGAAACTGAGAATTTGACCTAAAAAGAGTCAATATTTAACTGTTTAAATGCTTTCACTAGTCTAAGTATCCAAGATTGTACTAAACTAAAGCTCAGCTTGTTTTTTTATAAAGCCCCACTACTCAGGACGTGGGACCTTATAAGAGAAAGCAGATAATTTACACTAAGAATTTGTTTCTATTGTACAGCTAAGTATGTATTAGGTTAAGAAAATATCTTTTTATTTTATTTAATTTTTTAAAAAAATCAGAATGATTTTTGAATTAAATTTCTTTTCAGCATATATCAAGATGATTTTATTTTTGTGTTTTAGCTAATAATATAGTGAGACATGTCATAGGTTTTCCAACCATTTAAACCATTTCTGCATAATGTCCTGTTGGATCTGATACTTACCCTGCTGCCAAATCTATTCCATCTCCGCTCCTGCACGTTAGACTGATAAGTAGGAGATAAGTAGGATCAGGTCTCAGCATGGATCATTGAGACCCTGCTGAAAGACTAAAGGGATTATCCACTCAAGGAGTTTTAGAATGTGCTTAATATGTTCTGGCAGACATGGAGAACATACCTAGAAGTAGATTTTGAAGGTGGTAAGTGGGATGGCAGGGGTTATGGGATATAAGACTGAAGAAACAGAGTTCAATGGTACAGGGTACTTTCAGGATTTAATGTCCTGACAAGAGCTCCTACAGCTGGTCCCAATACACTACCAAGAAGCATGGGGGAAACCTTGGCTCATATTATTAATACATGACATGGAAAGGTCAGAGCTGCCTTGACAGAGAATTCAGGAAGGTATTGAAAGGCTTATGGAGATAGGCATGCTAGAATGGACGTTTGTACAGAATCTGAGAACTCACTTGATGACTGTATTCACTGGGAGGACCCAGAGAATTCTCTTAATTAGGAAGACAAGGCATGTCCTAAAATGGGAGACTCCAGAGGCCATGAGAATCCCAGTGGAGGCTGTACTCTTTGAGGCAGACTTGACTATAGGAGATGCTGTTACAGAATTAGCTGCCTAGTGTCAACGGGGATTACATGATTCCAAAATAACAGAGGCCACATGGGCAGAACTAGGGTAAGAAGCAGTAAGTCCAGACAGGTAACCAGAGAGCCCTGATTTACAGAAATCTTGGGTGATGGCTAATACACCTCAATATTCTCAGGGGTAGGAAAATAGGCCATGAACAGTAATATTCCTTATACATATACATAATCAGAACATATCAAGAGAAGATAAACAGAAGACTGATGACAGCTGTCCAAGTTCTCAAATCCAGAGTCCTCTGAATGAAGGGAAGTCCAGGTCCACCTAAGGGGAAACTTGTAATGTTTTATGAAATACATATGGTAGTGATTTACTAAAAGAGATCTTTACTCAGAGTCTTTTCCTCAAAAAGATCTAAATCCAATTGTCTGAGAAATTTTACCCTTGGGGAAAGGGAATAACCAGATCTTTGAAGGCTATTGGAGACAGAAACCAATGTAAGTTTGATACCAGGAAACCCAAATTGTCATTGTGGCTCCCCAGTTAGAGTGGAGATGTATAGAAGGCCCGACTCCAGTGTTAGTGTTAAAGGCCCAAGTCTATCTCAAAGTGCAATCCAGTAGGTAAATGCACCTACCATGGCCATCATCTTCATGCCTGTGAATATCAGAGTGGTTACAATAGATGGATATTAGTATGAACATAAAATAAGGAGGCCTGACCTCCTCTTACTGTCCAAGTTACCTCACACATATATTTAATTTGAAATCTATATGGCTGATTCTATGTTACTGACTGGAGCTCACACTCTGGCTATTGTAACTTGTCTGAAATCCAGTTCTCCTGAGAATGTCTCAACTTTGATGCAGGTTTTAGAAAATGACTCTTCCTATCTCCAAATGCAATCCACCATCCTGATTACAGGTACATGGACAGTCTAAGGAATAAGAAAATAATTATAGGGAAGGAAACATCAGGAGAAGAAAGGAGAGAAACAACACTCACAGTGCAAAATTAACTTCCATTTTTAAAATATCACAAAAAATGTGCCAAAGGCTCTGGTGTGCAGAAATGAGTTTCAATAAAAGAGGTCATGAGGAAGAGGTTTTGGAATAATGGTAGAGAAGCTTGAGTCTACAGAGAAGTCCAGAATCCAGAATGCTATAGTCCAGAATTGCTGGATTCATGTGAGTCTGGTCTCTTGGCTATTGGATCCTCTAGCTTTATCCCAGAACCCTTAACCTTGAATCTGCCTGGCTCCTTCCTTTATTTTTCAAAGTGTGGTCTGTTTAGAACAATGTCCGATCCAGGGCCACCAGCTGCATGTGGCTATTTAGCACGTGGGCTGTACCTAGTGCAGTAGTCCAAGCTGAGATGGACTGTATGTCTGAAACTACATTTTGAAGACAATATAAAAAAGTGAAATAACTCATTCATAACTTTTATATTGATTGCATGTTGAAATAATTACATTGTAGTTATCTTGGAGTAAATAACAACAGTATTAACACCAACTTTACCTGTTTCTCTTTGCCTTTTAAATGTAGCAGCTAGAACATTTTAAATTTGTGGCTCACATTGGTAACTCACATTTATTTCTGCTGGATAGCACCGTTAGAGACTGATAATGTAAGAATTGGACCATTCCCTCTGAAAAATGCACAAATGAAATATTTTGCACACGATTTCAAGGGAGAAGGATTCTCTAGAGATTTACCACATAATAGTGGAAAGGCTGAGACTGGAAGCCCACTCCCATTTCCAGCCTCAGAGTTCTTGCCCCAGGAACTGTCATCATTCTGCAATAGAGTCAGCAACTAGAAGCACAGGGAACATTGCCTGCTTGTCATACCCTTGTCCAGCGGCAGGGCTGGCACAGGAATTGATGTTGTAGATTATTGTCATGGCAGGGTGATGCGGTCAACCCTAGACAGGACATCAGGCCTTTGTCTTCCACTTCTTCTTGGACACTACCCAGTGTGGGCTTTGGGGGATCCCATCTTCTCTGGACTTCTGTTCTCTTATCTGAAAAATGAGGGCGAGGTTAACCAAATGGCTGCTAAATTATATGACCGTGATTCTGTATAAAAGCAAAGTCATACAAATAAGGTATCACTATGTCTTCTACCTTTGTATAAAACAGTCACCTTCGGCTAGGCGAGGTGGCTCATGCCTGTAATCCTAGCACTCCGAGAGCCTGAGGCAGGTGGATCGTTTGAGCTCAGGAGTTTGAGACCAGCCTAAGCAAGAGGGAGACTCCATCTCTACGAAAAATAGAAAAAAATTAGTTGGGCATGGTGGCATGCGCCTATAGTCCCAGCTACTTGAGAGGCTGAGCCAGGAGGATCACTTGAGCCCAGGAGTTTGAGGTCGCTGTGAGTGAGGCTGATGCCATGGAACTCTGGCTGGGGCAACAGAGTGAGACTCTGTCTCAAAATAAATGAATAAATAAATAAATAAAAATAAATTTTAAAAGTCACCTTCTTTAATAGAAAAAGAAATGAAGAAAAAAATGACCTATGTTACTTGTCCCCCAGCACCGAACAGGAGCCACTCTGCTGCTCTATGTGCAGAAAGAAAGAAAAAAAAAAAAAAAAACAAAGCTTTGAAGTCTAAGCTGAATTTAAACACTTTTCAATTAAAGATTTAAAATTTATGTATGACTTGATGGCATTAATAAAAATAGTTAAAATAATTAAGGAATGTAGAGTCCAAAATGATTCCAAAGGAAATCAGTCCCTCAGATTCCTTCAGCTGGTCCATCTCCCTCAGCTTCTGCTTTTGTGCTAGAGATTCACAATTAAGACACTCCATGCTTCTGAAAGAGCCCAACGTCCCCACCCCTACCGCTACCGCAGCGTCTAAGCCAAGGCTAAGACCTCCCAGCCGGTGTGAGAAGGAGAAGGTGAGTGGAGGGGCTGAAACTTACCTTCCTTCTGCCTTTGGCTTGTTCCTTCCCCATTGAGCCGATATTAATAAAACCGAATGGGCTCCAGGAGGAGGGACCCTTTCTGCTTCCTCTAGTGCCTGGCTCCAGAGAAGAGTGAATTCTGCGAACTGGTGATTATCCGGCTGTGACCAACAGGAGGAACAAGCTCTTCACTGCTCTCCGTACAGAATGTCTTTCAATTTCCCCAAAAGGAGACTGGCACCACAGTGAACCTTCACGCCATAAACCCTCCTCTTCATCCTCACTCACTCCCGCTCTACTCTCCACAGGCTCTGTGCTCTTGAGTGAGGACTCAACCCTCCAACCACCAGTTCTCTCATCTCCAACACAGAGAAAACAACAGAGCCCAGAATTTATCTCTGTCTGAATTATGCTACTCGATTTCAGTTTTAACCTTTGGAGTGAACAACTAGCTCTTTCCTGCAGGAAATTCCCTCAGGGAAATAAATGTTAGAGACAAGAGTCTATCTTTCTTGATCTCACCTTCAGAGGAATCATCACCAGCCTCTTCAACTTTTATTTCTAAGAAATGGCCCCAAGGTTTTTCACTTACACCGTCACTTACTTTGGGGAGCCGTCCAGCTAGTCTGTGTCTAAACAGGTGTTCAGCAAGACATGCGCATGGCTGGTGCATTGCCACTGGCGACCTGGGCGTGTTCACGGCAGGCAGCAGCACAGTCTTCACCATCATTCTTTCAGGGCTCACGGTGCATCAGGCCCTGCTCTAAACACTCTACCTGAGCTAACTTATTTACTCTTCACAAACACCCAGTAGGGTAGGTCTTGAATTTGTTCTAATTAGACATATGAGAAAATAGAAGCAGAGAGAGGTTTTCAAAGACCTTCTGAGGACTTTATCCTCACAAGCAGAGTAGAACCAATCTCAAATCCGTCACCAACAGGCTGTTAAATGTCGAGTCATCTCCTTATCTGCTTCCAGTAGGGTACTGATATGATTTATACTAAATGTATGGACTTAAATGTAATAATGACTACAAAGTGCTTGGCACATCGAAGACATTCAGTAAGTGTCCATTACCTGGTAATGCTTTAAAAATTACATTTGAAATGGTGGTGTCTCATTGACAGAAGGAAAGGAAATACTACAATGGCCATTCATCCACTCGCTTGTTCCTTCACTCTTGTCAACAAACACCTTGGAATAGAAACATAAATAATACCTGTCTCACTCCCCTGGAAACTGTCATTAAAAGAGAGAGCAATGGGTCAACAGGCCAAGGCTTGGGGAGGAGGTGCCAGGAGAGAGGGAGGCACTAGGGGGCGCTACGAGAGAGGCGACTGGAGGCACGGCCATCCCTGACTTCTGGGTGAGGGAAGCTTCCTGGAGGAGACAGTGCCTGAGCTGAGCCCAAAAACGATGAACAGGAGTTAGCTAGGAAAAGTGGGACACTTTTCTCAGTACAGACACAAAAACCTGCAAGCGATCTGTAAAAGTGGGTCATGAAAAGCTAGGTAGAGGGTGGCTGAAGGTGGAAAAGTAAGGAGGCGGTGGCCACATCATGGAGAGAACCCTGGACTTCATCCTCAGGAGCAAGGCAGAGCAGGGACAAGGATTTCGAGCAGGGAAGTGCCTTCACCAGATAGGTGCAGGCATCGCGGGAAGGTGGGTGGGACGGGCCGTGATTGGAGGCCTGGAGATGAGGGAGGTGGAGGCAGGGGTGAGCCCAGAGATATTTAGTTGGCAGAATCCATAGGAATTGAAGTGGGATGAATTAGTTAGAGGGAAGAAGAATCGAGGCCGTTAGATGCCCAGGTTCTTGGCTTGGGCAAAGTGGGTAGTTAAGGTAGTTCATGGAACTAGGAAGAAGAGATGGGTCCGGGGAGGGAATGAGCCCATGCTGGCTGTGTACAAATTGAGTTCCAGGTCCTGTGTCAAACATACCTGAAGATGGCCAGTAGCCAGCTGGATATGTACACAGATAGTCCCCAACTTATGATTTTTCCCTGTATGATGGTGCTAACAAAGTGATAAGCATTCAGTAGAAAACATACTTTGAATGTTAAATTTTTATCTTTTCCTGGGCTAGTGATATATGTGCATGATGCTTTCTTACGAGAAGCTGGGGTTTAGCAGAGATGCATTTTCAAGTAGCTGAGGGAGAGGATGTAAATGTGAGCTTAACTAGAAGCAAACAGACCTGATGGGGTGTTCAGACCCGTGAAGGTGGGCAGTAGGACCCCACGCTGCAGCTGAGCAGAGGCAAGTGGATTGATGAGCCAGCGTCTGTCTAGCTGGTTGAAGACAAGCGCTCTGTGGCCACCGGTGCATAGCACAGCCTCGAGCACCAGCCGCGCTGGCCTGACAGCTCGCTGGGGCAACTGAGGATTTCCTCTGCGAAAGGTAGTGGGAGAAAAGAGAAAAGAGCAAGATCATGGCTTATGTCACGCCATCTCCCCATCAGACAGCTCTCTTTGGCTACACTGCATCTTTATTCCCAAAGAATTCAGCACAATGCTTTGTACATAGTGGGAGCCTAATGAATATTGCTTGGATAAACGAATCATCTCAGAGTTCTAAGAGGGCCATCTATACTCTGTGGTCTGATCTAAGGTGGCAGATTAGCAGGACTGTCTTCACACAGCGTGGCGGTGCTAACAGGTGGTGAGGACACCTCTTCACAGTGATCAGGGGGCCCCCCTTCCCTCCCCCACCCAGGGGAAGTTTGGCTTGGTGGACTGAGCCACACCACAGTGGTCTAACGCTTCCTTGAGGTGACTGCCGGCTGCCCTGTGGGACGTTGTAGTCGCTGCAGACATGCTGTCACTGCTCCAAGCACCAGCTCTGGCAGTCCTTGGGGCTTGTGAGTTGTTTTCCTCCCCCAGTTACTTTTGACTGATACTCTCTAATTTTATAATTTTTTTAATTCCAAGTTTTCGGTTTATTTACTGTCCCCTCTTTGTCGTTCCAGTGTGTGTGTGTGGTGCAGTTCACCTAGAGCAACCGCAACTTTCCAGCACTAAAGCACTGTCCAAAACAGCACGCCTGGAATGTGTGGTGTCTGAAGGAACCGTTTCTGCAAGCTCCATATACTGGTATCAAGAAAGGCCTGGTGAAGTCATACAGCTCCTGGCATACGTGTTATCTAATGACACGGTCAGAACGGCACCAGGCATTGCGCCAAACAAATTTGAGGTAGACAAGATACCTGAAGCTTCCACGTGTACCCTCACCATTCACAATGTAGAGAAACAAGACTCAGCCACCTACTATTGTGCCTCCTGGGAGTTGCACAGTGTCACACAATTAGAGCCCTGTCATTCAACAAATGTTTCCATTGGTTCTTTATTCCTTAGTATGAATTGGGAAACCACAGTAGCCACCAGTGTGCTTTTATACAGTCTTCAAGATAAGTGTTCATGTGCTAACTCTATGTGGAGTTGTCAAAATCTATGTTTTCTCAAAGAGGAGGTTTTGCGTAAGCATATGAGGGCTGCCTAGAAAGTATCCAGCCTTGTAATATGTTCCTGTTATACTCGCGATGGCTGGATACTTTCTGGACAGCTCTTGTATACAAGTGATAAGTCTCAGCTTTTTGGGAGTCTGCTCTCTCTCCAACAGTTTTTCTGGATCACCCATGTTTATTTGTCTAGGTCAACCTCCTCCACTCAATGTATTTTTTTTTTCTGCTAAGATATATACACACTTTTTGTGTATGTGATTCTTTCGTACTAGTTAATTTGCATCTCACTGGGTATCCTGGTCTCCCTATCTCCCTTGATTTAAACATGGGCATTAGAATAGTTGAGATTCAGTTTCCTACAGGCTAAAATGCAACGAAGCTGTCTAGCATGTGACTGTACCAAATACTTAAGTAAGCCATTATGACATCATGGTAAGTACTTGTGTATCTAAACATATCTAAATGTAGAAAAGGTAAAGTAAAAATAAGATATAAAAAATAAACAATGGTACACCTGTATAGGGCAGCTCCATCATAATCTTATGGGACCACTGTCTTTGACTGAAACATTGTTATGTGGTGTGATATATATACAGGAACACACACACACACACACACACACACACAGTGCTTTGTATATCCAGGGTTTAGCACCACCTCTATCATAGAGTATCTGACTATTATAATTCATAGATAGAATAGTTAAATAGGAAGAAACTCTCATGAGAGTTCATCCCAAATTAAACTAAGTTTTCAATCACAGCTCTATGGGACCTCAGACTGACACACAGCTGAAGAGGACACTGGCCTTGTGCATGGTGTAAATAACTTATTATGGGTGAAAATGAGTCCCTATTTAGCTAACGTGAGCTTCACCAAGGACATATTGGCCACATCAAAGGCAAACCAGCCAGAGGCAAACCAGCTCTGTCCTAAGTAAACATTTGCCAATTGAATGGCTGTTTAAATTTCTGATTCACAGAAACACTGAAAGCATCTTATTAAAATGTAGTGGGGGCTCAATTAATATCTACTGACTTGAGATTGATATTTTCCTTATTATTGAGGTACTCACATCATCTCATGTGTTGGGGCTTTTGCATAGATGGATGCCCTAAATATTCTGATGATTTGGCTCAACTTATTGGCTCAACTTATTTTCCTTTATACTTGAGGTGAGTGAGACACAATGACTTTGAATAAATAATAGAACCAACACTATATTATCTAATGAAAGCTGAATAAGATCTAAGAAAATCTGCAAAAGAGATAATTTCATATAACATATCATTTATTTCCCAACTCCCCACTCATACAAGTACTGTGAGAAAAGTAATATATGTTACTTAGGAGGCATCTTATAAACAATGCAATTCTAGAAATTGCCAGACCCAGCTGGAAAGCCCTGTTAACTGTTTTGTATTGAGTGCTGTCTGTTTTCGGTCCTGTGAATGGTTCAACAGAGGCAGCCCAGGGCAAAGGAAAGGGTACAGATTTTGGAGAGGCTATCTCTAGACATTGCTATCATGAATGTTTTTTCTTGTGTCATTTCTGTACTTTCTACATTGTCTAATAGAAAACATTTATTACTTTTGAATTTTATTTTAAAATTTACTTTTAAAAAGAATTCACATGCTTTATCATATTAAAAAATATCTCTGCATATTATTATTTATTTATTTTTATCTCTGCATATTATTGAGCACTGAGAGACAACATGTAACGTTTGCTGGTTAGAAAGATCTCTTTGATCACTATTTCTTTCCTCTTCTCTAAAACCTTTCGCTACCTGTAAAAAACAAGATCTTGTGTTTTTTTTTCCTCCTGATTCTTACTGATCCAGTATGCTAAATGAAAGAAAATGTTAATGCTTTGGGTGCTCAAGGTAGCTTCTGGGGCTTGTATGTCTTCCTTGGCACTAGGATTTCCAAGGCTATGGATCCAAGTCCTGGGGAAAAGCAGAAACAAATTCCTTCAGGGGGTCAATTGGCATAGAAGAGAATGGCTACTCGTACATCCACCTCTCAGATCCTGGGCATCAACCTCTGGCTATGGAGTAAATGACAATATTCTATATATTGATCACTGGGGGAGGATACGGCCAACTGAAGGCCACTTGTCAGGGAGGGAACCCTGAGTTCATTCTCCTCCTATTTCCCAGCCTCCTGCTGATGCTTCCATTGCTTCCCCCCAATAGCACCTGGAGCATAAGGAAGACCATTAATGCAAACCATGGCAGTCAGAGTTTTAAGGCAGAGTGAGCTGGAGCAGCAAAGGAAGAAATCAAACAGATAGTCAAATAAGCGAGTTACCTTTGACCCAAAATAAGTTAAGACGAGCTAGGGAGTGAGAAGACTATTTTATCTAGTTTGTTCCATTTCACTGTCCACAAAACCACCAAGATCCCATCTCCAACAGAACAGGATGTGCGGCTGTTCCCTCAGTAACAAAACAGTAAACTTGACAAGTCTTGAGAGACCATCATAGAAGTATGTGCTTTTCTAACCAATTTCTTAATAGGACCATGTTGATTATTCACAATGCTTTTGTTCTTAGGGTAAGTGAAGGCTACTCTGGTATTTGTTGACTCATTAAGTACATCACCAGCACATAAGTAAAATAAGTAACATAAAAGTGATCTACATTTGGCTAATGATTATAGTCCTTTATGATTGTACTGCTTCAAGAACGAATCTTATGATTAATACAATTTTGTGTTCTTGATGTTCTTTAAGACAATAACTGAGTGTAAAGTAGTAGACAATCCCAACTCTCATTGAATGTTTGACACTAGAGAGATAATCTATCCCCCTGGTTGTTATAATTGTTCTTTTTCTTTTATAGATGCTTAAGCCACTTTCTTGATATTTTTGAATCAACTAACAATTTCAATCACATGCTGATCATTAGTATTCTCCTGTAGTCCTGTTTTTTTTTTATTGTTTACTTATTTATAAATTAAAGTTACAGAGTTATTGTCAAAAATCCATATATTCATAAAGTAGCAGAATTAGAATTTCCAGCTTGTAAGTCAGCAGACTTTTGTGACTTTCCTTTGTTTTTTCTTTGCTTAGCCAAAGAAAAACAGAAAAATTAATTGCTTTATGGGCACAGAGTTGAATATCTGGAGTATTCTCTCAAGGAGCTCAGTACTATATGAACATAAATAATGTAATAAGTATTCTGATATGAGTATAATAAAATAGCTTTTGTTTACCGAGTACTTTTTATGTACTAACCACTTTATACTGTATACTTCATTTAATCCTAATAAAATACTGGGAGATAGCTATTATTATTATCATCATCATCTCAGTTTATCAATATTTTATAGGTACAAATTTGGGACTTTGATAAATTAAATGACATGATAGTAAGTGGCAAGGCTGGGATTTGGATCTAGGTCTATCTGATTACAAAATCTATTGCCTTGATCCCAGAGTGATGAGCAAAACAAAATAAAACAAAACAAGACATTTTTAATGGAGACATTTTGAGAGAAAATAGAGAATTTTACCATTCATTTTATAATTAGGCTTCTTTTTGTTTGTTTGTTTTTACCTGCAGCATTAGACTGTGTTTCCCAGGGCCACATGAAGTTATTTAAATTAACGCCTACAGGATTTACTTAGTGACAATCTGCAGAGAGTTTTCTGCAGAGAATTTTATCATGCAATCATTTTTTTTCTGACTTCTATGCCTTTTGTTAAAAAAAAAAAAAGAAGTCAAACACTTTTTAAATAAACACTGTGCTTATTATGCAACAGAAAGGCATCAGGAGGGAACACACAAAATATGCCCCTCAGGTATCTCCTTTGCTGCTGTACTCCCCCACTGTCAGTCTGCTGGGGAGCACAGAAATATTATCCAAACTTGGATGGAAAAGAGAATATAGGAGTAGACACAACTGCAGCCTGGCCTAGGATGGCCACAGTATGCTCTGCTTCCTGTGTAGCTGCCCAGGGAGACCCTGGCGTGGGCTGATGGTAGGAATAGTACTATGCTATTCACTATGTCCCTCAAATGAAATAAAGAATTAAACTTAAAATTTTTTGCTTTCCTGGCATATGTAGGTGTTCTGAGAAGGCAGAAAATAATGGACCACTGGGAAGAATTCATGGATCAGAAGATTCATGATCAAAGAAAAGTAAAGAGGTGAGGAGGCAGCTCTTCCCCCTCCATACCAAGGGGGACTCCCCAGGTCCTGGAGCCACTCTGGGGTCCAGAGCAGAGCCCTGCATAGGGGCTCATGGAAATGTTTGACCGGTGTCATGAGGGTTGGTGGGCAGAGAAATCAGTGAGGATTCTCACCTGGAAAAGCTGACGGGTGGCTTCAGGTCATAGCAGACTTGGTAACTTGGACCAATTGTCCCCTGAAATCACTTAACTAATCTTGGTGAAGTAATAATAAAAGGAATCTCCCTAAATGTTTCTAAGAGCCAAAAAGATAACAAGGTACGAGTGTTACCTTGTTACATGGACTGATTTTCTTGGTGTTATATAGATATGGGTAAAGCTCCCATGTGTTCCTGACCAATTAGCAACCTCAGAAATGACTGATCTGGGTGCAGGGCCCTGAGACACCCATTTTCTTTGTTAACTAACAATCTCGGAGGCTCCTCTCCTCCTGCCTGGCACCTGCTCTCGAGGGTCCCTATCTCTTCAGCCTTCTTCTGGGGCACATAGTCTGGGAAGAAGGGAGTTTATGGCTACAAATAAATGCTTTCTCTTTACTCTGGGAATGTGAACTCGCTCCCCCATTTCTCAGATTGGCTAAAGTCTTTTAAAAATGAATGTTTTATTTCTTGATAAATTTGGTTATGT